GTTCTGGTGCTACTGTATTAAAACTGAGGGGCCCTGAAGTGAAGTCATGTCACTTCAGGGCTCAACCTTCTGGGATACCATGCCGACTTCAGTGAGCAAAAGCACCAGTTTTCAAACGTTAGAAAAAGAAAATTCAAAAATGTGGCTACTATACTCTCAAACATGTGATCATGAGTAATCAGGGTGCACTACAGTGATAAACATAAACAGGCCATGTGCCATTATGACTTTCAGTGCAATTTATCAGTAAGTGCAAAGCCAATAGGATTAGTGCAATACTGATGAAATCATTGCAATGAGTGAGAGCAGTGCAATACAAATCACTTTTTTGTTTCTTTCTTTTAGTTGTTGACTTTATGTTTGTCTGTACTAACTATGATGTAGTTTAATGTGTCTAGGCTTGGTAATCTGTGATACTGGGCATTTTCCTTTTGGACCGGTCCTTATTTCAACGCCTTAAATCATATCGGCCACAACACTTACTATCCGGCCGAAACACCTACATATAAAAGTAAAAAAACTTGAGCTCGAGAAGTAATACAATGTTAAATATCTAAATGATGCATGCAGTATATATAGCCCTTCCTTGTCATGCACATCCTTATGACATTTTGCATATGGTGTAATTTTCTATTTCTTCAAACTGTAAAATCCTTGCAAGAAACTTAATTATAATAAAACTAAAATGCTTTCTTTAAAAGCAAACTACGATGTTCCTCTTATATTTGGCGAATTTATTAGGGAATATTAGAATATTTAGCAAAAACATGTTGTGGTGCATGATGGGGTTTTGCATCTAAAGGCTAACGTTTCCCGTCTTATGTGCATTTTTGCAAGGTTGAGATGTTTCCCAATCTGGCAGTTTAGGATGCAAGTGTGGACGTTACGCAGCAGCAGTCACTGTCGTGTCCATGTCCATGTGCTTGTTGTGTGATGCTTGAAGATAGATTGGTTAATCCACAATGTGTATTCATATTGTGCTTCGCATTTGAGAAGCAAGCGTTTGACTGTGCTATTTATTTATTTTTTTATTTTTTTATTTATTTTTTTTTTTTGTGGGGGTCCATAGGTGGGCTGGTGTAGATGGAAAATGCCAGAGCTGAAAAGCCTTTCCAGTCTGAGCCTGAATGTGTCTACATCTGTCTGTTTAGTGTGTGTTGTAAATATATTATTTGTCCGTTACATCAACCTGTCAGGACTGCAGATTAAAATTAACCTACTGCTATAATCTGGCATGTTTACGTCTATTTACGTCTAATGTTTATGGATATGCATTGTCCCCTTTTTTTTAAATACATGGTTTAAGGTGGTTCCAAAACTGATTGTTTTTTTCTATTCTTTCTCTCTTAGGTTAAGGTTAGAATGAAAACAAGTTTACTTTAGCATTACTTTAGCGATAGTTTCAAGGTGTTGATTTATTGTATGGCTCGTACCATGTCTTTCGGTTGTGCTGTTCTTTTTTCATCTTACAGGTGATGAAGCAGACTGAAAATGTTTTTTCATTATCTCCTTTCTATCTCTTCTTTCTTTCATCTTTTCTCTTTTTTCTTTCTTTTTTTAATTTTCTTCTTCTGTTTTTCTGCTCTATTTACATTGCAGTGTCCATATAAACTGGAAAAACGCCCTGCATAATTATAATAAAGCAATTTCTATGGATGAAACAAGTGAAAGTAAAATCTGTTGGGCTCTTTTTGGCATTAAGACAATTATTCTTATTGCCACATTGCCAGAGAGTACACTGTTAAAAAAAAGAAAAAAGAATGAAAACAAGTTCTGGTTTTCCCACTTTAACTATGACAACCCCACCCCTAAACTTTGAGGAATATATTTAAGAGTTTTTTAAGTTGGAGGTGTCTTTGGAAAAGAAAGTGGGAACCTTTGCTAAGATGGCTGCCCCTGTCTCAGGTAAATGAAGACGATGATCATGCATACAGGTTTATATTGTTATTGTTTTAAGTTTGGGTTAATCAAAATATTTCTACCCAATCGGTCAAGAATATGTCTTAAAGATCATATGCATGTAAAAGTAAACATACAAATACTGACTACTGTATGTGATCTTTGATTATAAAATGATAAAATGGACAGCTTCCAGGGTACTGACTAATGCTGAGGACACTTCTCAAACTTAAGGGCCGGTGTCCTGCTGCTTTCAGGAGTATCACTTGCCCTGAACACCTGAATCAAATAGCTTAATTAGCAGCAGTCATGCTCCTTTAATGAGCTCATATTAGAGTCAGGTGTGTTGAAGTTCAGACATATCTAAAAGCTGCAGGACACCAGCTCTTAAAGATTTGAGTCCTCTGCTTTAAATATCTACCCCTGAGAAGCACAATTGACATTTTTATGCTTCATAGCTACAAATTTATTTTTTTTAATAAATGTATTTTCTTTATATTATTTGTTAATATTGTTTTTAGTGTGGAAAACAAGTAAGAATATTGATTGTACAGAGAAATGTGTTTTTCTTTCTTTGCACATGACAATAAACGTTTAAGCTTAAAATTCACTTATATTTCAAATAATTCATTTGCTTTAGGGAAAAAACCTAAAACCTCACCCTCACAGAAGTTATGTATGTTATCATGTATATCCCAGAAAAAAATTAATCTAATTTATTTTTAGTGAAACTAAGGGAGAAAAGAATTGAAATAAAATATCAAGTTGATTCTATTCAAAACTTTGCACTTTGACTCAGACTCAAAGAAAATTTCTCAGATTTTGATGTTTTAACAATGAAAGAGAACTATTTCCTCTTGATAGTTTTTGTTATTTTACAGGTATGAATTGTGAAATCCTTTGGTTAGCAGTATTAATGTGTTTGTATTTCTGTTTTGTTGGCATCAGTCGCTTATCATGAAAGAGACCTTTAATCTTGTGTGTTGTGTTTGTTTCAGTGTGCTCCTGTCCTCAAATTACCCTCTCTGGATCTTGCAAATTAGAGTTTTACTTTTCAATTGATCCCCTTCTTATATCACCATATATACCTCACTGCCGGGAAAAATAGCAAAAAGAAAGAAAGTTAATATTGAACATAGAGATCTTAGATTATATGTAAATTATATAAAAAATGTCAACTTGGTTACTTCAAGTCAAATGTCTTACCAAACTAATGGAGGTTCTCCTTGTTCTTCTTTAAAATAAATTAATTTCAAGTCTTTTTTTGTCCGTTTCTGAAACAGAACTTCAGTATTTAAGATTTAAGATGGTGAAGCTGCATGTTTTGATCTGGTTGTAATCTATATATTTAACACTGGTGAGCAGAACTGAACCAAAAATCATGATCAGAATTGATGTGTTAGAAAAATCACAGTAAATCTTAATTACTGTTTTCTTCTGCTTTCTTATTCTTCTTTGATTTAACATTAGAAGGAATAAAAAAGCAATAAAAAAAGCATCCATTAGTGCTGCAAATGGAAAAGCTACACCTGGAAAAACTTTATCATACCTTCTTCGTTTGAGATGCATCTCGTTTCATAAAAGCGTTAATAAAAGTTCCTTATTTGATGGGCAAATGCTTGTCGAACATTTATGCTTAAAAAGATTTTTATTCAAAATAGCTTGCATATTATTTATTGTTTAACTATTGAACACAACCTCTTAATGTTTCCTATAACATTGAAACATGATTTTCTGGTTTCATATAAACTGTTTTTACTTTGGCACAAATAATAATGACCAACCATAAGACCCAATAAGGACATAAAGCTATGAATTCACTCCTGTAACGTTTTTTATTGAGCTGCAAAGTAGAAATACAGGATTAACTGAATACCTCATGTAAAAAGACGTTTACTTTTCTTTAGTATTTCATTGTATATGTTTGTGTTAGAAAACAAATAAAGATACAGACTGTGTTTGTATTTATCTTTATATTCCTTTCTTTCGACTCATATAAAAGACACATTTGTGGACATGGCTGACAGATACTTAACACTTCAAATGGTGAGACACACATATTTACATACACAAAAATAGTTTTCACCAGAACAGAATCACAGATTAATGGATGTTCATCAGGTGGATCTTCAGACTCAGAGAAAATCCAACGTTTGGGCCAAGATTCCATCAAGCTACCCTGGTTGGAAAAAAGTACAGACACACAGAAAACAAAGTTAGAAATTATTGCTCTTTGTATTTTTTTTATTTCTAAGAGCAATTAGCGGTTAAGGTCAAGTCAAAAAAAGAGAATAAATGTTTAATCTCTAGTTAAATGTTGGTATACTCTTGAATACCTCTTGCACCATTACATCCCAGGCCACTAAAGTTTCCTATTCGATCCATTCTGCCTCCAAAACAACTGGAGCTCCGCTTCCCGAGGGCCAACAGTAGGTCTTTCAGTCTGTTCCTCTGGCTCACAGTCCTGCTTTGACCCACGGCTGAAGGTTGGGCTCCTTCTGATATCTGATTCTCACGATCCCCATCCAAGTCCAGACTCCAGCCCCGACTGGTCTGGGCCCGTTCAGGCTCTGGGATCGTCTCTTGATAATCACCATCCATGTCCTCCTTCTGAGCTTCTTCAACCAGAGTCTCCTCAAAGCGCTCCAGCAGAGACTGCAGAGGTAAGATAAAGGTTCAATGAACAGAAAAGATTTTAAAGTATTATGAGGCTGCATCAAAGTCACCATATCAACATATATATATATATATTTTTTTTTTCTTTGCACCTGTGTGCCATCGAAACACTAAGTAAAGTCCAATGTCAATGTATTCATGAACAACATGTTCTGCTGTAACCTAAATGATTTGTTTTCCAAACTTGCGGCTTAATTTCTGACTTAGAGGCTATTCAGGATTGTTTATATATGTTTTAAAGGATAAATCAGACCCGCAGCTTTACAGTAGGAGCTTTAGGATTGACAAGTTTGAATGGATTTGCACACTGTGGAGAGAAGACATTCAGTAAGAATTAAAGCATCAGGAATAGACTAAAAATAGAATAGAAACTCATTAATCACTGTTATTTTTATCTTTTTTTGTTTTATTGGCTTGTTTACAAAATATGTATTATTTTTCTGTCATATTATTTCTACTTATCCCATGCTATCACAGTGTACGATCATAAACCTAAGTCACTCTGTTTCCAACCCAGCTATTTATTGAAATCGTGTCCATTTCCTGGTAAATATTCATTACTTTTTAGACTAATACTGAGTAGAGGTTGTTACTAAGTTTCTCGTTTCTTGCCACCCGAGTTCCCTATTTTCAATAACTGATTTTTCCTTTTGCTTTGATTGCTGTTATTGTTTTACGTTCATCTGCTACCCATTTATTTACTCTGTTTTTGACCAACATGTTTTCAGAATGAATTCCCTGTTGTCAAATTTGCACAATAACTTTTTTTATTTCGTATGAAACATGTATTACCCCTGGATCCGCCTGTAAACCAACAGTAAGAAGGCTGAATTTTACCATTTGTTTCACTCCGCATATCTGCACTACCAAAGGTCCTGTTGTTAAAACATTTCAAAAACTATTATGAGAATATTTTAACCTTTTAAACGCAGAGCCACCTGAAAATCCCTTTTATATATGAACCAAAAGGAGGACCTAAAGGAAAAAAAGACACTTGATTGCAAATATATCTTTTTCCTACAAAACCCCTCTGAGGAAACATTTAAGAATCCAAACTCCCAATATCAAAGTTTTAACGCGTCAAACAGTAAACTTTTCCAACGAAGTTCTGAAATGGTCTTCTTACCTTAATCTGGTCCAAATTACTGGTCAAAGAGGACCTTCCCAGTACATGGCTGCTGACTGGACACTGCTGCCAGAACAAGGCCAACACGGTAAAAAACACCACGGTCTTCATTCTTTCCCGATGCAGATACTGATCTTGTAGCCCACACTGTGCCATGTTATATACATGGCAACACACATACTAACACACACACACACACACACATCCAGGGACAGCAGACAGTTAACATTGGCTCATCATTTCATGGATCAAGTCAAGAGCATTCTGGCACCTCTGCATGATAAAGTAGCAAGTCAGATGTCTACTTCAGTGGTGTCTGCGTGTTGAGAGGTGTTTGTGTGTTTGTATACAGCATGTGTGTGTGTGTCTGCGTATCTCAATGATTACCAAACAGCACTAGGATGACTTCAGGAGTCAAGTTTGGTATCCTGAGCTGAGGCTGAGGCTTATTTTAAATGCAGCACTCAGAGTGAAAATATCTAACACTTTTCTGAGCATCTAAACACCTTATTAGGTTAAACTGGCTGTCTCTGGGATGCATAATATGCATTTACTGTATCAATTAAAAAAATCCATAATTAAACCTTTCTCTTGATGGTTCTGCTTGATGAGTTGCTCTGACACACCTTGTTGGATGATAGTAAAAAGTGTATTAATAGCATGACTATGTATAATTAACAATGAACTCAGCATATTTACATCCTTGCCTTTTCTCTCATTTCAGAGTTCACACGTTTTTTTCATCTTCCAGCTGAGGTATTGCTTCCATTAACTCAGTGCATTCTGTTCTTTTTTTACTCCCATAGAAAATTGTTCTGTTTTAGTTCTTCTGGGTTTAATTGGGTCGTTTTTGGACGCAATCACGGACAGATTTATTGCTGCAATTGCTGCCTTTGGTCTCTTTGTTATTATTTATTTATTTATTTATTTATCTATCTATTTTGTCTTTTAAAAACTATAGATTTCAGTACTTTAAAAGCAATACTTGCTTCTTTCCTGCTATTCTCCTTGTCCTTTTAAACTGTAGCTGGTTGTAGCGTACAGTATCTCACACCAATAGTGGTTCTGTTACAATGAAGTCTTCCTTTAGGTAAATATAAGTTGTTCCTTTTTACCACAACCATAGAAATAATCAACTGTAACTGATTGTTTTTTAGTATAATTTGGACATTTGGAAAATTAACTTGAACATTATTAAGTTGGATCTGAATATGAACCTATGCCAATGCATAGTTTCATTAAACTAAATAAAACCTGTTCTTTGTCACCGTCTGACTGAGTTACTCCTGATGTGTTGATCTCAATAAGTTTCTTCCAAGGCCTTTAGAAGAGAAACAAGCCAACAGCCACTCATATCTTTTACCACCAGATAGATATACATATTGTTGAAAACTTAATTTATTTTATCCACTTATTTCACCAATTAAAAAAAAAAATTATATATTAATTACACACAGACTGATGATTTCAAACCTTTATTTCTGTAGTCTGATTATTTTCTGATACATTTAAAATGAGAATATTTGTAATATTTGTATAACATAAGGGTTTAAAGAAAAGTAAGCTTAATATCTCCTTTAAAGATGTTTCAAAAAAAAAAAAAAGATATTGTCAATCAGACTAACCCCTTTAATCTGAACGAGGTACTACTTTAATGAGCATGGCTGCACTCAACCTTGTTTTTTTGCAAGTCACACCTGGAGTTTTGCAGAAAAGCTTAATTTGCATCAAATCTGACCGAGGACCACAGTTTTAGCTAAACTCTGGGCAGAGTTCAACACACTTCGGATGTCACCATTTGTGAAGGTAGCTCCTAAACAGCTGTTAGATGTGATCAAAGCATTCAGAGGGTGTTATGATGTCTTGCTGTCTCCAAGAGATGAAACTATTTACTTAACCTTCAACATTTTTGTTTAACTGAAGGTTATTTCAACAAGGGAAAGACTACTTTCCAAAGCGTGATGAAGCAATTAAAAACCATGACAAACAGACAAATAGATGCAGACGTGTGAGTTTTGCATGCTGTCCATGGTCCTGAAAATGGTTGGAATAAAAAAGCCTCATCCAGGGTAAATAAGTGTGGTCGGAAAATTTGTATTTCTCTTATTTTATATATAATAATTTATGCTATTTACTCATTATAAAAGATTTCCCTCAGTCTGTTTCACCTGCAAGGCCACACAATTCCCCTGCGTGAGGGTGTTTGTAGACCAGACAAAGCTTCTTCCCAAAACAGGCCAGATTCTTTCTCAAGGATTTTTCATAACATGTTACTGTTTAACCAAAGTGTCTGTAATTTGTTTTGACTTTCACTGCTTACCATTGTTGTAAGTAAGGGGGAACACACACTGCCCAGGCAGAACGGGGCTTAATACTGTGCCAAAAGAGCTGTATGATGAACTGTTCTCCCTTTGCGAAGATATGAAAATAAATTGCCGATTGAGTGAAATCCATCGATCTCTGTTTATTTAACTAATAGTTGAATACTTTTTCCCCACTAAAATGGGGCAGGTTCATTAGATGTGCTCTTTACAAATCAATCCTTGCGTCTACTTTAAGAGATAGCATGAGAGGGATTTATAGGTAATGTCTTTGTGTTGGTCTGCCGTCAAAAAGAACATCATTCTGTGATATGCTGATGTAAACATTTATTAAACAGTCAACAGTACATAAAGAACAATAAATCTATTTTAATAAATATTCCTTATATATTGTCAACAGGCGACAACAATAAACAGTAAATATTAGTTAATAAATAGCATTTAATTGAACACAGACTTTGGTACAGACTTTGGAGTAGCATCAGTTAGACGGTAAGACTTCATCTTTACTTTGGATCTGCAAAGGAAAACAGAAGTAGAGATTTCAGAAACATAGCAATAATAATGTAGACACAAAAGATGTCATCAGCCGTTTTAAAACCACCATGACCCTGAGGTTTACTGCTGTGAAACTTACTATATCTGCCAATCGTGTTGCAGCCCAGGGTGCTCATTGAGCCTATTCTGTCCATCCGTCGCCCAAAGCAGCCAGAAGTTTTCTTGGAGGAGTCATTCCGGACGTTCTTCAGGTTCTTCGCCGAAAGAAGTTCTCTGATTTCAGCCTCATCCAAGCCCATCTGAGGCTGCTGCTCGCTAGATGTTTCCTCCATGTTCAGTCTGTTAACACCTACATTCTCCTCAGGGGTTCCTTGATCCATTGCAGTCTGCTCTGAAACGGACTCTTCAAGTTTCTGCAGCAGAACCTGAAACATCCAATAAATATCACATTAAAAAATGTAATATTATACAATTGATCAATCTGTAGTTATAATTTTTTTTAAATATGAGGATTTTGAAAATAGATGCAGTGTTTCTAAGAGACTCACTTTTAGGATGTCCATATCGGTGTCTGTCAAGCCCGTGTTGATGGGATAAGTGCTGGATGGCTCCAGGTTTAAGATGAGGAGAAGACCACAAAGAGGAATGGAGGACAAAAACAGGTTTCTCTGAATCTTGTTGCTCTTCATATCTGTGTCTGGATGGGCTGATGCTTGTTGGCCTTTGACTCTGCTGTGGTTTGAATGCTTGGGACCTCAGTGGAACCATCTGTTCTTTTATACACCAGCCTGACACACTGAGGTATGTCAGGAATTTGAACTCAGGCATTATGCATTCTCAACACCTAATTCTGATAACAGAAGCTGTCGGAAACTGCTCCTTATTAAGTAGCATATCTGAGATATGGAGCGCTCGGATGACATAGCTGCTTCCATATCCTACTTTGTTTCAGGAAAAAGTCCATCCCACCTTCCACATACAACTGAAATGTTGTCACTGGGTTACGGGAAGTTGTAAAACAGTACAGCAGGGTTACTAAATCGGGCGGTGTACGTGATAAAGCAGCACGCTGATCAATTGGTAAGGTTCTGATGCTACATTTCTGTCTAGACTATTCGGGTAAAAAATATTTTTCTGTCAGTGGTGATAGTTTTCAGAAATGCTTTGGAATAAAACATGTACATCCTTATTATAAAGTGAAAGTCACTATTTATGATTAGAAACTGGTGGGGAAGGGGGGGGACATTTTACTTTTTTCTACAGATGTCTTTTATGAATTTCAGTTTAAATCATTAGATCCAAGTCCAGGAATTACAGAAGGGTACAGGTATGTTTGGTATGACAGATATGCATGCACAGAGGTAAGAATTTTGCTATTTTATTTAAGAGCTAAATATAAAGCAGAAATTATGTGATTATGTTCTAGGAAGCTCTACGTCTACTGGGGCTGAACAATATGGCAAAAATAATCTCTGATTTCTTTCTTCCCAAATCCGATTAATCGTTTTTTTTTTCTTTCTTAAATTTAATAATAAAAATTATCATCAACATACAGTATATTGGTTTCAAAAAGGAACCTTACTTGTCAGTCATCCCCTCTGGAAGGTGACCTTAATTTAAAGGGCAATACAAGCCAAGCTGTTAATAAACAAGGTTGTAAAATAATAATGTTTCACAACAGACAATGAAAATTCAACAACCTAAGTCTTTGCAGCTGGTATCGCACAGAGCTATAAATATCTCCTTGTACAACCACCAGTTTAACAGATAACAAGAAATATGCTGTAATACCTCAACATCATATGGTGAAATTTATGAAGATTATTTAGTTTGTAAACTACGGACTATTTTACGTTACTCATGCTGCCACACATCTGAGCTGTATATGTCATTCATTAACAGACTTCTGCAGCACCTGATTGCTGCCGGGGAGGTGATGCAAACATTTGATCCAGGTTGGCTGCAACAGAGAAACATCTTAAATCTACAGGAGGGAAGACTTGGGAAAAAAATTCTTCAGGACGGGGAGCAGCACTTGTCACAAGAAATATTCTTGCTCTGATTTTTAACAGTCTACACTCTCTCTTTGAGTTCTACAACACTCTTTCATACATATGCAACACCAGCAGTCAATTGGATTTTAAAAAGATTTTATAAACATTTTCTCACCAGCAGTTAAGTGGTTGGAAGATATGAATACAACAGAAACATCCGCTTTTTATCGACATTAATGTCTCTTCTTTGCTTTGGATGGTGTCTCCACTGTAACCAGCAGCTGCATTGGCCACAAAGTGATGCTAGTCTTTAATACTTTCGTTTCTGCTTGAGCTTCTACACAGTTTTATATACCCCTATAAAAAAATCCTGAAAGTATGATGTTAGTTTCCATCAATAGTGGGAAATCTGCTCTTTTGATTCGTTTTTATTCTTTCATTTGTTGAGGCAAAGTGTAAAATGTCACCAAAAAGAAAGAGAAGAGACAAAACTTAAAATCTTAAACTTGATTTTGTTCATTTTTTTGCTGCTGCACTGTTAATTTCCCAACTTGGGAACAATAAAGTACATCCAATCCAAGCACGCCTGAATCAGTGAGCTTCTATACAAACTATGATAAAAATCCGGTAAATATTAGACTGTGTGTTAATTTAAAATATGTACTCTAGATTAAATTACTTTTTGGTTTGATGCAAATGAATTGTTAGAAATCCAAGTTGTAGTTTGCAGTTCTACTTTGCTCTCTGTTTGCCTATTTGGTTTGCCTACACTTTAAGATCTATGTTTTAATAAATGATTGACTAGTTACTCCTTCTTTCATACATGGATTCATATGTTTTCAGGCCCTGGGCTCATATTAACCATGTGTTCTCAATGGCACAGTGGAGCCGACCTTCTGTCCTGTAATTGGTAGTGATGGTAACAGCAGGAACCAAATGTGGCAGATTTCAAGACTGGTAGCTGTTCTTTGGAGTTATTCTCTATACAATGGGACTAAACTGAAACTTAAAGGTTTAGCATTTGATGACGTCAAGTGAAAACTACCGGACCTAAATTATGGTATTAAGTAAACACCTTCTTTTAGTTCTTGATTTTGATTCAAAGAGTAAAAAATGTAAATGTATCAATAAAAATAATAAAATAAAGTCTATAATGGATAAATTGAAGAGCTGAGTCCATTCTTTGATCCCACCCTTCGGCAAAATTAACTAACAGCAGTTTCTTTCTATCTGGCTATTATTTCCTAGTGTCACTAAGCAGGAAGATTGGTCTGTCGTCTTTCCAATATTGCTTCTATAAATTAGAATCTAGGGGAATCTTTCATTCATACGAAGTGTACGACTGATACCAAAACACTAAGTAAACCAAGCATCCAAAACGGTATTCACCAAAGAAATATTCAAATTTATAAAACCATGCTCAAAACCAAGCAATTTTACTTTATAATCCACACCTTTAAGGCCCTCTTCTGTCGACATTTAAGCACAAGCGGTCCATAGAAAGCGCTGCATGAATTTCCCTGTGTATCTAAATGACACAGCTAATAAATTCTATTTAACGGTTACCGGTTGTAACAACGGCATAGAGAGAGAAAAAGTACACAGTTTAACTAAGACAGAAATAAATGAGTTAGGGAGGTAGGTATAAAGTAGGATAAATGTGTTCAGTTGCCACATAATGCTGGGAAAAATAATAGGAAGTATGAATGGAAACACTTTCAAAGACCAAATGTATAGAATGAGTGCATAGATCCAAAGCAATGCCCCAGGGAGTCCATTCGGGCCTCTAAGTCAGTCATCAACAAGAGCCAAGGAATGTTGGTAATCTCTGAAGACTTTCTCCCGTGTCTTCTTATGCATCTATTAAGCACCATTATGCACGGGTGTCACAACAGTATTTAAATGTTTACACAATCAGTGTGAATACCCCCAACCTTGTCACTTTCGTGTGTTTATTTGCGGTATGACTCACCCTGTTGGTCATCAGAGGGAGGACTACATTGATGAAAAAAAAAATAATAATAATAAATATATATATATATATATATATATACACATTGGGCGGACTTTGATTTAGATTTTAGACCCTTGTGATTTTTGCAATTTATAAGAAAAGCCCTTAAATATAGTTACAGTTAGTTATACCAATTATTACTCTGTAGGTTATGAGCAGATAAAGTTATTAAAGTAAATAAAAGCCAAATTAAATGTCTTGGAGATATCTTGATGCAATCTAGCTTCAGTTCTTCACCTTCCCATCTGTGTCTCCAATTTTGCCTGCCTCCAAAATGTCTTGCAGGCGTCTGTCTGTCTGTCTGTCTGTCTGTCTGTATACAGACGTCACCCTTTCGAACAAGGTCTGCATCAAGCATTGAGTGACCACGCTCTTTTGCTTGTTTGTAAATATCAAACTATCCGTGCCTCGGTTGCCTTCGTCTTTCCTCCTAATTTCACATCAATCATTCATTTGCACTTGTTCATGGTTGAACTTAAATTTTATGTAGTGACGTCTTTTTAGTCTTTTGCAGCTCAATGTTTTACCCGTCTTTGAGTTACTTCATCAAGTTTAGAAGTATAGTTTCAGCATAGAATGATCCTGCCATTCTTTGCTGTCTTAATTAAAGACTTCTTCTCTTCAAGAAGACCTTAAGGCTTATATCATTTATACGTAATTTATTTATCAGCAAAATAAATCATATATATAACTGGTAAATGCTATTATCTATTGGCATTCAATTATAGCCTAATTTCATCAATTCCCAAATCAAAAGTTTCTTTAAGTTGTTAATCAATGAAAAACTTTGAAACTGATTTTTCTATATTTAAAAAAAAGGGATGGCTTGACTTCTGTCTGCCTTTTATTTAAATTTAAATATGTAAGATCTTTACTTTTTTAAATTCAAGTCACTGTAATTTTCTTTTATTTCTCTCCACTATTATGCCTTTGACCGATTGTTTTTGCAGTTTATTTGACCTTTGTTCATTAATCTAGTTGAAAAACTGATAAATATGAAATAATTTTTCAAGACCTTTACAAACAACCTTCGAGTTAAAAATGCTTTTTGTGAATGTGTAAACTGTTTTCATGAATATAATTATAGCTCAAAGAGACAACAATAAAAAAGGTAAGTACAAAGGGAATTTAAACTTTTTGAATGAAAAAGTTTTTTTGAGCATCTCTTTAAATGTAATGCCTATGTGCATTAAAGCCACTCCATCCTTCGAGTACAGTTTCACAGATGGTTAAAACACATCCAAGCGCAGCATCAAAACTCTGGGTCACACACCACAGACGGTATCTCATTCCTATTTTATCTGAACTCAGTGTTTATTGTTTAAAACCTGATAACTAACATGAGGGAATTTAAACTGTCATCGGGTCAATTTTGGATCGTTTCTGCTTCATTATGTTCTGTCAGTGATAGAAGTTATTTTAGCTTTAGACAAGTTGTTAACAAGCTATGATGCAGCCGATCCTTATTAAATGAAATCTCATTACACCTTATTATCAGTATTGAGGTCTGTATATTAATTTATTCCACTTCGAGGCTCTGAGCTGTACCCATAAACAAACAAGGGAATCAGCATTTATATGCAAAATAGTTATTTTACTGCAATACATAATATCACAAGGCAACTTGACTTTATCCATTAAAACCATAAATAATAAATACACAAACAATAAATTAGAATTCAGCAGCTTTCATTTAAGAAAACTCAATGTAATGCAATAAATCCATGTTCTGAGTAAGAACAATCACTGCTGCAGCTCTCCTTTAAAGTCTCAGTAACGTCTCTGTGAGAGCCGACTGTGCTGCGGCGTCATTGTGATGGACCTGTTGAAAAGACAAAAAGCACATTTTTTAGATACAATGCCTTCAACATCTGGAGCATAAAAGCTGCTCAGAAATTCTGCAGCTGCCCAAAGGCAAGCAGCTCTGTCAGAGTTGATATAATGGTCGTATTAACTTTATGCAAAAGATTTCTTTAAGAAATTATTTCTGAAATTTGAAATAAAAACCTGCTTCTTATGATTACACTTGTCTTTTATTCTTTGCAGCACTGGATCTTAACCCTCAAAGATATGCTAAATAAACCTATGAAAATAGATGCTGGTAAAATAAATAATAACTATGTTAGTATCTATAGTTTAATAAAACCTGAAGTACTTTGAAATTAGATGCATTATTCAAACTGAAACTGTTGTCTGCTTAATTTAATTGTTTTAAATATGCAGGATTATTTGAAAGGTGTTGAAAAATTTCCTACCTTAGCATCCCAGTCCACTGAAGGAGCCAATTCTTTCCAAACGGACCCCGAAGCAGCTCCGCAGGCCTGCCTTCTTGTAGCGGCCCCATGATCGTTTGGAGGTCTTTAGGAGATCTTTCAGAAAATGTGCTAACTGGTTATCTTTAGCCAATAGGGCAGATTTGCGGAGGTCAGAGGAGCTCCATGGCTGCTGGTCCTGCTGCTCTGGAGCTCTCAGCATCGACTTGTCTGAGACGAAGTCACTTTCCCCCACATCTGCCTCCTCAGAAGAGATAGGCATGTTGCTGATCTCATCCTCTAAAAGCTGCGTCAAACTCTGAGAAACAGAAAGAAAAAATAAACAATTATAGACCTAATATGACTTGTGGATTCTGCATACAGCCACATTTGGCGAAAAATAAAATAAAATCTGGCATTGAACTGCTCTAATATGCTGCACATAATAGCTAGAATTTTTGCTCCTGGTAAACTTACCTGTATGTCAGAAATGGGTTTAGCTCCTATGAAATTAAGCAGCAGCAGCGAAAAACAACAAACTGAGATAGTTGGGTGCATTTTTCCCTCTAGTGCTTTATATTTTCTGTGATGACTCTCCAAATCACGTCCTTGCTTCTGCTCTAGAGTGACTCTCCAGCGGCGCAGGTGCCGCCTTTATACCGACCTGATTTCGTCACATTGCTTGCCAGTAGAAATTAATGAGGTGTGACTAATGCTCCTGCAGATTGGAGGGGAGCCTAACCTGGCTCTCATAGGTGTTCAGTCTCCTCTGAAGTTTCCAGAATTTGACTGGAGACTCTGGGTATCAAGTCTGTGTGGGTCACAGCATCACATCAGCTGTTAACTTTCAGCTTGGCTCTGTTTCTGTGAGATGGGTATTCTATTGTCACGCACAAAAGGGATTCATTTGTTTGTTGTTTAGGAGTTTTATATGGGTCAGTTTTGTGATGTGCAGTTAAGCACAACAGTTTAACCCACTTATTATCTTATGGTTAATTATTATATATAGTGTTTTTCAGAAAGAGGTGTAAAAATATATTTTATGAAGTCAATGACAAATATTATTATGATTACTATTATAATTGTTGTCAGCATCGCTCTCTTTTTGGTAAATACTTATTTTTTTATTTTTAAAGTTATTGTCAAAACTGATAACATAAAATGAACGCAAATATTTTACCCTTTTAAACTAAATTCAATAATTAGTTTTTCATTCAAGCCAATTTAGTTGCTTTTTGAGTTACCTTTCTAAATTTAAAACATAAAAACAATTTCTATAAAGATAGCACAAACCATGCAATGTTTGTTTATATCATATTTGAAGAGTAATAAGGCACTCCTTGTTTGTTTTCAACTGATCAGACAGTTATGCATATGCTATGCATGCCATTATACCAGCTAGCTCTGGATTTCTGTTTATAAAAGTTTGCATGGAATTTTCTTATAAAGAGAATTTGAGTAGGACACATAGTCAAAAAACATGATCATTAAATTGACAGTGCACATGCCCTTTTTCAGTTTCTTAGTCATACATTAGGTGAAGAAACTTCAAGACATATATTGAATACAAATTCAAAAGAAAGAGGGCTAAATGTACATCCTTGGGGTACACCAATAGTGCTTTAAATCACATTTGTTAAAAATATTTTTTGATGTTTTAATTAAGGATATATGCACTTATTGGAATTTTTTTTTTTCAGCATCTTAACAAAACCTCCAATGATTTTCAGTATCTGATATTAAAGACAGAAAAGTTTCCTGCTATTTATTGTGCATAGGGTCCTGGAAACCCTTATCTAAAGGTAAGGAAAGTTAGGGACTAACTATACAGAATTATGATGCCTTCTTGAGGTATTGTAGTTGGTGAATACCAAAAACCGTAATGAAAATTGCACATGAACACCCACTCATGTTGTAATTTCTACTGGAAAGCTGGAAAAAAATTATGAGTTAAACTTTGACCTCTCAACATGTCAGAGAGCAGCAAAACAATTCAGAATGGTGAATACTACTTCGTTAAACGTTCCTTCTCGTTGTGTTTGAAGCATACACAATGCTGTGATGTACAACGATTTTAAAATGTCGCCATTTAAACTTTTGTTGTTCTTCAAATAACCGTTGATATTTGATTTTATTAGATGCTAGCTAGCAGTCCGTCGAGGATAGCAGCAAATAAGGTAATGTGCAAACTGTGTTCTGACGCAGACAATTTTGTCATTTGATCTGTAGCTTATGCCAGTGAGTGGATGATTTACTGGAACAAGGAGCTGACCCTCCAACTGTCTTGCCCAAGGGGCATGTTAGGATAATCTATCAACCATGTTCCTATTCTCTACCACAACAAAGGCACTTGAACACAATATGCTGGTAATTTCCACTTTACAAGGGGAAAGGGTAATCTTTACCAGATCACATGAAGGCAGCATTTGCCATGATTTTGGCACTGATGAAAGGCTTAATTAATTCATTTCATTCACCTGTCCAGATCTGCTCGGTTGCTCATTACCTCTCATTTGATCCACCTGTTCCTGCCTCTATTTAAGGAGCTTGGATCCAGTCACCAGGGCCAGATTATTCTTGTTCTCTCTAGCCAGTGGTGAGAGTTTTTTTTAGAGTTCCTTAATGTTTCTGATCTCCTGATCCTGACCTCTCAACCACTACGCATGCCTGTTTTCATCTGATCTCAGTGACAAGAGTGCTGTTAGCTTACCTGAGTAATTCTAATCACCTGATCCTGACCTGTTCTGCCTCTCAACCACTGAGTCTGCCTGTTTCCGTCTTTGGACTCCTGGATCTCTTAGCCTGCCTTTTCCTGTTCTGATCTGTTTGCCTGACCCGGCTTTGGACTCCTGTATTTCTGAGCCTGCCTGTTTCTGTTCTGATCTGTTTGCCTGACCTGGTTTTGGACTCCTGGATTTCTGAGCCTGCCTGTTTCTGTTCTGATCTGTTTGCTTTACTTGGCTTTTGACTCCTGGATCTCTGAGCTTGCCTGTCCCTGCTCTGATATGTTTTCCTGACCTGGCTTTGGACTCCTGCAGGTTTTCCGGGGCTGCAGCATCTCAGACACTCTGGGCGGTGCCCGCTGCATTTTGTTGGCAGTCCACCGGCTGGATTATACCTCGTCCTCTCGCTATGGACTGAACTTGTACATCAGGTTATTGAATCACCTTTCCAATCTTCCTCCGTTAGATTTTCGTGGTCACTAACCTGTGTTTCCTCTCTGCAGAGTTTCCAACCTCAGATGTCCTAGCAGGTGTTATCATGGACCCCTTTGTTTTAATAAAATATTTTGTAATCCCACTGTCTGCTTGCCTGAATACTGGGTACTTCTGTTCTGAATCATGACAGCATTAGTAAGTATCAAACACACAAACCAAAACATATTACAAAGGGTTTGTGTATGCTGGTAATCCATCAACTGAAAACTCTCCATCCAAAAGGCCTCTGAGGTGTGCGATCACCGTTTAAACTAACGGAATATGTTCAGTTTCCAAGGACTATTCTTTCCAGCATGGAGACCTTTCAGATTTTTCCTAGAATTTTCCGTAGCCTCTTTCCACCAGATTCTTAAAGTGCACTGATACTGTTTCTAGTCCTTGTTAGGGGTTTGCAAGCTTCTCTCCTTAAAAATTAGTAGAAAGCATATCTGAATGCACATTTATATGCATTGTGTGAGTCTGAAAAATTTTTTAACACATCAGACTGAGCTCTGATCTTCTGATCTTCTAAAACTTAGACACTGTTTAATGATAGAACAATACATTGATCAAGATCAAACACTTTGAAGTGAGCAATCCTGTGAAATTTCAAACTGAGCTAGTTTTGGCTTATTTACAAAAGCAAGTCTTAACTGCTATTTTTGGAAAGTCTTGACAATGATTACCTAGGCACGGAAATAAGTAAACTGTGTGGAGGAGGACGCTCATGAAAGATTTACAAGCATTTATTTTCTCTAACAACAGAGACTGACTCCATCTTCCAGACAACCACCATACCTGAGAATGTGCTGATTGACCCGTGTTTATGTTTTTGCTTCATCATGTACTTTTAGTGAAAAAAGTCACGGATATGTTCATCACCCTGACTGAAGTCACAGAGGGTGTCTAAATACTTCATGGTGGCAAGGCTTCAGGGGTGGATGAGATCCACCCTGAGTAATTTGCTGGGCTGTTGTGGCTGATATGCCTACTAACCATTGATTTCAACAGGAGCAGTGTGGTTTTCATTCCAGATGTGGAACACTGGACTAGCTCGATGCCCTCTGTGGGGTGCTAGAGGGTTCATGGGAGTTAGCCCAATTGGTCCAAACAAGATTTGTAGGCATTTGACCCTGTCCCCCATGCTACCCTGTTGAGGGGGCTCCAGTATGAAGTGTCAACTGCTAGGCTGCTGACTGGACCGGACTGCAGCAGAGAGCCAAGGGCTGCCCGTACTAAGCTGGAAAAGGGGAGCTGGGGCCGGAAAGGCAGGCGGAAGAGAAGCACAGGTCCGCCGGTGTTCAGGCCACCGTCACCGGATGGAGTTAGGTCACTCCGTCCCCCACCGGCTCCCTGCCCCCATCAGCCTGGGTTCTCATACCGGCCCCACAGCTGATGGCTCTGTTCAAGTCCCCGGTGTGTTTGGACTAAATGCTGCACTGTAGTCGACCAAAATCCTGGAAGATTTTGAAATTCCCCCTGGACATTTTTTTAGGTCTGAACAGTAGGACATGTCCGAGAAAAAGAGGACGTCTGTTCACCCTACTCTGGCAGAACTACCTTCTGTAACTGGTTCTGTTCATGACCTTTATAGACAGGATATATTGGCCCAGATCAGGTTAGAGGAGGTATGGTTTTTGGGACAGTGGATTTCCTTCCTGCTTTTTGATTGTGTTGGTTCTCTCCTTCCAAGATCTACGTTATGTACTGAGGCGGTTCACAGGGGGTCCAAAGCAGCTGGGATGAAGATCAAGTTAGGCCATGGCTGCTGACCCAAAAAAGGTGGCTTGCACTCTTCTGGTCTGATGATAGTTCCTGTCTCAAGTAGACAAATTCAAGTATCCTTTTCATGAGTGAACGGAGAATAAGGTCTATCAGATCTATGGCTGGATCGGGGCTGCTGCCCCTTTAATGTGAATGCTTTGCAGGTTTTTTGTGGTGTGTTGAGCTGAGTCAAAGGGCAGAAATGCTTGATCTACTGGTCGGTATAATCTATGGCTTTAAGTCTGGAACATGATCAAACTAATAAGATCCCAGACTCTAGTGGCTGAAATCAGTTTTCTCCACAGTGTGGCCGGACACTCTGCTACAGATAGATGTAGCAGATGAAAAAAGAATCCTTTAAAAGTAGTCAGGAATAAGGATTAAAAATGTTATGAAGCCCTTTTTTTAGTGCTCTTGGAGAATCTTATGTAAATGCAAAATAGTAAAATACAGCTTGAAATGGTCCAAATTTCTATTTATAAAAAGATTGCTTTTATTTATTTCTCCACAGAGAAAAGCTGAATAAGTCACTAATCTGTGTTAAACCTTGGACAGCAAGGTCACAATAGGAGTTTTCATTTTGTCTGAGCAGCAATTTCTGAAGGTGAATAGAAAATTTATAAGATGAACAATCTGAACTTGAAAAAAA